AATGTCCTGAAGTGCACTAGGTGTCACACCGCCTAACGGAATATGGCAGCAGATAATGGCATGTCCAGATAATGACCCGTCCCGAGAGGTCTAACCATGTGCAAACAGCTCTAATGATAGCACGTATGATAAGACATTACAAGGCTCCGTCTATATCCGTATTTATATTCTTGAACAAAGCAGGTCCCCGATTTCCCCAGTGTAGATATCCTTTGTAGTTTTGAAAAAAAAAATCTCTCTCTTGCTCTAGTATTTAATCTTCTTATCAGAGGCACTACAGAGATTAACCAGGTGCCACACTGCAAAACCCAGCAAGAACAGGCAGCTACTGCATGATACAGGACTTATCATCACCAGAGTTTTATTCACCATTCCAACAATCCAACAAGAATTAGCTGTACTTCAGCCTTGGTCGCCCCCTGGGAAAGTTCATAAGTTCAAAGACCAAAGCTACAGCTCTTTAGGCCTTATTTCTCAGCACCCCTCCTTGTTTGGAAACTTGAATTGCAGATTCCCCCAAATCCCACCATAACTTCAATCCATTTTCAAAGCAATGAATCACGGCTGTTAATGAGCTCCCAAGCAAAGACAGGGAATGGTCGAGGCACATGCAGATGATTTGCAGTAGCAATAATTTATTAGACACACACACATCAAAACACAGTATAAACATTATGGAAAATGAACACAATTGTGAAACAGGATTCAAAGTGCATAGACTCTACATAAATCTGCTTGAGAATTTATGCATTATTAGTGAGGGAACTAAGGGAATGCTCACACAACCTAGTAGTTGAACTTAAGGAACACAGATCATGTCTGGAAAACAGAATTGCTGCTTGAAGAATTGCCTCAAAAATAGAAAGTATCAAAAGTTATTAAAGCTGTCAAGTAAGTGCGTAGCGACAGGGCACCATAATGGGGAGAAAAAAAAAAACACCAATCAAAAGCTTTTGAAGAAAACGTGAAGAGGAACTGTTCTGGAGTACTAAAAAGCCTACTAGACACAACTTTGGATATTCAATGTCTGAGAACACAGATCAATTAGAATATCAACAAATGAAAACAAGCACTTCATTTAGCAATGAGACATCAAGACCAGTGACTTGCCGCAGAGAATTACATGGGTGATCAGAGCTGCTTCCGAAAAATTCCCCTCTTCAATGAATATGAAGTGGCTCTTGGTTGTGCAAATGAGCCTGACCTTCCGAATGGTATTTCTTAAACTAACTGCTGCCACGGCAGCACCAGGAAATTTCCAAAGGCCACAAATGAGCAATTGTGAGGGATCGTTTTTTATAATCAAGCACAATGCATTTTTAGTCGATGCGCTCTGAAAGTGATAAAGTTACATCATAAAAGAGGCTGCAAGCAAACCTGCTCCAGTCCAAGTCTTGTTATTAACCTTAGGTTTGCTAGATTCACTGTACAAACTCCCATGACTGTGGTACTACAGTTGCTTCCTCACACAGCACACATACAACAAGACAAGTTTATACCGTATCATCTTTTAGACCCCTTTTCATGACCTGCCACTGTGTGTTGCCTTTTATTCTTTATGCAAAAATGTATTTAAAATGACTTTTCATTCTTCCATGCTTCCACTGCTAACTGCACAAGTCTCACATTTTTCATAAGATAAGTTCCACTGTCAAATTCCACAAAATATTGCCAGACCTTCTAATTATAGTGATGTCCAAATGTTTAGACTTTACTTACAGAGCCTACGACTCATCAATGCATGCACTGTACTTCTTGTTCTGTTTTATTTACTGTATTTCTGTTGAAATTCTTTTTGATTGTATCACCCTATACTATAGCACCTTTTACTGTTTAGTAAATATTTTGAATGTCACCTTGGGTAAGGGTGTCAGCTAAACACTAAAAACAATAATCTGAAGTTTTTTCAGCTTTTCTTGTTGCTTTTAACACCACCAGCAATCAAATTCTGTTTGTTTAAAGAAACATAATTTCCACAAATATAAAATAAAACTATTTCTGTTGCAACTGCACATTTTCTATTCAGAATGAATAGAATGAATATTGATTATTGCAATATATTAAATTTAAAAATCACTTTGGTGTGTTGATCCTCATTTATTCCAGTGTTATCACAAACATTCTTAAACTGAAAAACTACACAATGTGTTCAGTACAGAAAATACGACTGACATTTTTGGTGACACCATACTAGGAGGAGAATTTTTTTTTACTTTCATTTGAGAAGTACAAGGTATCTCTCAACATGTATTTAAGAGAAAGGTTATAAAGTATAAATTACTAGAATAACTTAAAACGTATTTTTAAATGTTCTAGTAACTATGAATTTGAAGACTATTTGGACAATGCAATTTAGAACACAAATGCAGTGTGAAAAATTATGTAAAAATACTGTATACTATTTTGATCAAGCTATAGGGATGTTTTTAAATGAAGAACAACAATTTGGATTTGAAAATATTTTGGGCGATGTAAGAGAAAGGCGGACACAAGTTTCAGACATGATTAAAAAAAAACACACAGAAGTGTTTGCTCAAAAGGTCAAAAGCCATTGGATTTCTCATGACCGGCGTGTAGGGTGTGCAGAACATCAAACAATGATTAACAGCAGATGAAGAGCAACCAAGGTGGGAACAAGTAGTTTGCCATCACCACCAGAGAAAAAAGACTGCAAAGCCAAGTGCAGGCCACATGACTAATTTAACTTACCAAGAGAAGAGAGACTGAAATGTGTACTACAGTATATACCATCTCTCTACATACATATACACCTGCACTTTTTTCTGGAAAGGAGCAAAACACTGCTATACTGCATCAGTTAATTCTCATGATTTTTAATAGTTGTAATAAAAAGTCATATTAATGATGACCTTCCATAGTAATGTGGAGGTGACAGGGGATGAGGAGTGTCACTCTGCATATTTCTCTCTCTGATCCCTCTATTCTTGGACAACATGTACTCCATTCCCCCACTCCTGAGCTGCTGGTACCCACAGGATCCTAGTGTGTTGGCTCTTGAGTACACTTTGTCTTTTTTATACAAAACAAATTAAAAAACGCAGCCCTTCAGGGTATCCATTGGTCAGTACAAAACTGACTATTTCCTGCTGGGAGGCGTGCGACTCTGAACATAGATGTCAGAAACAGCGATGAAGACATCGCATTGTAAGAGTCTTGCACCAGGTCAGAGATCCGGTGCGTGATTGTACTAGTGTTTTTACAACCCGAGAGCTACAGTCCATTTAATAATCAAAGATCTTATTAGTGATATATAAAAACCTTGCTTTCTTTTACTAACAAAATTTCTAACATTCAATAGACAGACAATATCAAAGACTATAAAAGAGCCATCCATAAAATACTATTATTCCTGTACAAATGCATAATTGAGCATTCATTAAATAATATTTTCACTTCAATTTGGCACAGAAATGCATATCCATTCCCCACAAAAACATGAAAATGTATGCAATGAATGCCAAAAACACCACGCCAAATTTAAACAGAAAAGCTGGGCACACTTACTGTATGTAAATGTGTGTGAATTGGAGGTAGCAAACTGTTCATTAAGGTGGACTACAGTAATTGACTAATGATGGTAGAGGAGAAATAACGTCAAAGAGATCTGCTTGTTCAAATCTGAGAAATTATGCTTTTTCACCATCACTAAGCACAAAACCCATAAACACATGAAAAAACCACATGTGGATTTTTGATTAGGCCTCGTACATTTATTTAAATCATTGCAGAAAGAGGGAAAGAGTATGATTTCCATTACTCATATCAACTAACGGAAATGGCAAAGAGACAGCTATGCGTTTTAAATATTTTTCATCGGCTTGGAAATGCCAGTTTAAAATGAAAAGGGAAGAGAATTATTTAATATCCGAGAACAGATTTTCTGTGTGACTCCTACTTTGCAAGATGCTTCTAGCTTGGGTGGATCTTTGCTTGACAACTTTTGTCCATTTTTCATTGCAGTTAAGAAACACAACATTGGTCACTGTTGATTTCCCTGCACCACATGGACTGGAAAGACTAAACTAAAGAAAGGGGCAACAACCTCATTTGGTAAACAAAATGTTGTTTTTAAAATATGAATTCAAAGGTATTTTAAAAGATCTATTTGTTAAATCGCAGTAATATTCCAACTTGTGGATGTGAACAGCATCCAGTATAGTGTTTTGTGGTCCTATATCTGTACCAGTTGAACGGCATCTTCAAAACTTTACAGTCAAAAGGAATTGTAACCATAGGCCATCCCACAGAAACAGCAAATATTGATCCCAGCACTCTCCATAAGAAAATACACTTAAGTGACATATCCAATAATTAAGAGAATTTTCTGATATATACTCAAAAATCCTTAAAAAATCAGACAGCTCGTGTGCTAAAGTTGTTATTCGCGAAACAGATACACATTCAAAATATGTTTACCAGCCTTAGTTGATCTGAAATGTGAAAAACTAATGATTGTATTTAGGGTAACCTTGCAATAATTCAGATTGATCGATATATAACTTTGGCAGATATCAAGTTAACATGACTTTGATCGAATCAGAAAGTAAGTGTGCGCAAATAAATAACACGCGTGAGTCTTTTTGTCGTCCTCAACAGACCTCCTTTGAGATGTGATGAGGTGGTCAGGCCTCAGCGCACTTGTTATTTAGAGCAGAGGCAGCAGGGGATGGTTCGGTCGTTAAAGTATTGTTTTAAAGAAGATTGCCTTCTTTGCTAGCAATATAGGTGGGAGAGGAAAAGCAGGGGAACCAGTGAAGAGGCTGAGAGTGAACGCGTATGAGACAAATGGAAGAAAACACAGCTAACAGGGAACATGCCGTTATATAGCAGAAGAACGAATGACACAAAACCCACGTCTTCACACTGTTTGCGTGGGGCTCAGCGTACAGTTCTAGTGCAAACTTTAGCAGCACAGCATTTTTTTTAGTTGAGGCAAAGGGGACAGGTGAATAAGAAATCAAGGTTGGTGAAGTACATACCCAAAAATACATCATCATTTCGGAAGCGGGGCAGGTGCGGCCGTTCGATGGGAAGGATGGGCAGTGCAGAAGGACTGGTCCGTCCAGGAGAATCAGAAGGAATAATGTCCGTTAATCAATCTGCTTATCGGTCCTTCCTCCTCTTGATCTGTTCTTCCTCGGCTGTTTCCCACTGCTCAATTATTTTAGGTTTTTTCACTCTTTCTTGTTCTTACCCCCCCCTCCTTTTCGCAGCCACCGAGAGAGAGAAAGCTGGAAGGCGTCGGGAGCTCCTCTCTTCTTCTACTTTTCTCCCCCTTTCCTCTCCCCTCACTCACGCTCTCTCTCTCACTCTCTCTCCCCCTCTCCCTCTCTGTCTCCGGTTCTCCCGTATCTTATTGGTGAATCTTAAATCACTCGGTACAGTACAGTAGAGTACTGAGGCTCAACTAGAGCAGGAACATTCGGCAGTTTGCGGCTGCTTCCAGCATTCCTGCTCTGAGGTTCTTTATTCCTGTGCAGAGAGAGGGGAGCTACCCTGGATTCCGAGAGATGGTACTGAAAAATTCAAGAACCAAGGAGGAAAGGTTTCTTTTGCTGTTGTTGTTGATGTTGTTGGGTTCACTGTTGCTTGAAAGCAAGAGAGAAAGAGAAAATGAAAAGAAAAAAAGAGAGCCTGACTCGATTCCCTTTCAATGTGTCAGCCACAGGAACATAACAAAATAGTAATACCAAACTAAGCTGCAGACAGATTCCAGAGAAAAAAGGAAGAGCAGATAATGTTTTCTGTATGTTTGTCACTGCAGTGGTAGTGAGCTGGTTGATACTACGGTGTGTGGGAAAAGGAATTGCTGGTCTCAGTCTTAGAGTGCTGTGACCAATCAGGAGTCGGGCTTTGTGGTTAAATGCTGAGGGAATAGCTTGACAGGTTTGTGCTGTGGGTAGGTATGGATCATAGGAGTAGTGGGATAGAGGAGAGGAGTTTGTGTGAGTGTGCAAATGTTGTTTGTGTGTCTTAGATGTGTGTGTGCGTGCTGGTGTGGTGGTGCTCAAGAAGGATCTGGCTGGAAGGAAAGAGAAGAGGGGGTTGGGGTTCTTTTAGACAGCCTTGTAACATCTAGCCTGCCTCAGCAATTTTCAAACCTTACCGTCAATACCAGACTGGTGCTCTTGCTCTTAAGTATTAACCCCTGCACTTCTGCAGATGAAGTAGAGGAAGGGGTTTATGAGGTAAGAGGTTATTGTGAGATTTTTATTCTCATTTAATACACTGCATGTGAATGATGCACTTTGTACAGATGTATCGAAAACTCATTATACATGCCAGTAATTTTGATGGAGCCAGTGCACATAAAGATAGGGTAAAATTTCCTGCCGATTTAAATTGAGTCCTCATGATGTCTGTTTGTCACGTTCTCCATATTCATTTCAAAAACCGTGATCAACACAAATACCACACATACAGGCTCTGCATTTAAATAATGGCCATTATTTTTTGACTTTCAAACTGCACTTCTTTCCAATATTTCTATCTATACACTTTATCTGTACTTTACCAAGTACACATACATTAGTAAACATAGAATGCACCACTACCTGCCTTTTTCATTCATCTTTGGTGGGAAAAAAAGAAATGCTTTTCCAGCTACTCAGATTAAAGAACATGCTTTTTTCACATGCATCTATTTCAGGGTTCTCTCATAAATAACTTATGGGAGAAAGCACCAATGGAATGGGCTAATGCGCAGGGCATGAGGGGGTTCAGGAATTAAAAAGAAGGGCACCATGGAGCAACACAATCAGAATCTGAAGGTGTTTTTAACAACACATAATCCTTGCACCTCCTTTTCTGAGAACTCATTTACCAATGTTGGGGAGAAGAGAACAACTGAATTCAGCAGCACGGAGAAAGCCCAGTTGATCAAGTTTTTTTCAGTCTTTTTCTTGCTCCCTCTTTCTTTCTTTAATGTGAATTTAGCCTGGCTTCTTTGGATGTTCTGTGTTCACATCAACTACTAGAAGACTGCCTCTGGAGCTTTTACCTTCTACTGTACAGACAAGAACTCTTTATTTTTTAAAAGATAAATTTGCCATATTCTGTGTCTGTTTATTCTTTGTTCTGTGACCCAAAAAATTTTGCCAAAATTTTATGATACTGCCTAAAACTGCATACAAAAACAGCTGAAGACTAAAGGACTCATCCCTCATTCTAGCCTGGTCTTTCACTTCATGAACCAGTTCAGAAACTATTATTTAGTTACTGAACCCAGCAAGAAAGTATTCAACCTCAATGATCCCTTAGCCTAAGAAGAAACTCAAAAATCAAGGTACAGTAGCTGTGGTGTTGTAGGCTAATTGTTTTCTTCGTGGCCCATGGGAACGCAGATGTCCAGGAGGTGCCTGTGGGTTCACTAAGTGTGGACAATGGTATACCAAGTCACGAGAAAGACTCATTTAATGTTTCCGTGCAATGGTACACTGTTGTAAAAAGCCAGTAAAACACAATCTAAACAGACACAGGGTGTTGGGATAAGTTATAATAAAAATGTAGGAAGCCCATACTGTACAACCAATCAACCAATATGTAATATGTGTACCTGTATGCCCTTACATATTTACCATGGTAAGCTTTCAGGTATTAGTATCTTCTACTCAGTTATTGCAGTCACTTTTCATTTTTTAAATCTGTCCAAAATATTTATTGTACAGGATCACTTCTCCCTGTTACCATTAGCTATGTATTCCAACCTACAACATTAAGAGTGTGATAAGTAAAATACAAAGAAAAGCTGCAATATATTATCAAGATAGTAAAAACATTTTTTTAGTCAGCTTTACCTTCAAATCAATGCAGAATTGAACAACTTATCTTCACTGATTAACCTTTAAGACTGTTGTGAAAAAGCACAGTAGACTTGCCTGGATATGCCATGCACTGCCATGACTGAGTTCTTAGTCTTGACCAAAAAAAAAACATTTACACTGCACAAAGGCATATGACTCACTGCTTTCCTGGCACTGAGGATATTAAGCTCGGCAATGGCTTTGCGCAAAAGATCATATATAAAGAAACATCCAATTGTTCTTTTCAGACAGAAGTCATCTGCTTGAATCCAATGCCCTGGGCTTTGAAATTATGAGAATGTGTGCTTTTGACCATACAGTCAACCTGCATGCCTCTAAGCCTGGGAAGGTTCTACCAGAACTGTTTGACCAGTAATCTTTTACAACTTTTAAAACCTAAGAGGAGATGATAATGAAAGACACCCCTGTTGCTAACAATTTTATGGAGGTCTATTATTCAATACTGGCAAGAAAAAAGCTGCAAAAAGAAAAAAGAAGGGAAGAATTGGCTAGATAATTGTGTCCAGAAGATACTCTCGGGAAACAAGACAGTCAAGATCCACACAAGGTGTTAGGACTATTAGGATAGATGAGTTACTAAAAAAAAATGTTAAGACTGTGAACAATTAACTTCAATCAGATTTCCCTGGAAAACTGACCAGACCTTCTGCTTTAGAGCTTACGGTTTAATACTAAGTAACTATGTAGTGCCCTTTGTTGACAGGAAAGGAGTTTACTGAAAAAAGTGTTTTCAAGAACTGTACTGTACCTAGCCTAACATTTCAAACAATCTTTTTCAGAAGTAGGAGTTTCTGCCTGCTAGACACTTATTGTCATGAAGATATAAGGAATGTTTTACAAAAAAAATCTAAATGTTTTTACATAAATTCTATTCTCAAATGTACATTTTTTTCAAGAGTGCAAGTTTTGTATTTTTTGAGTTATTTGAATGTTAATCTGTAAAAATACGATACATATTTTTTTCTCATACTTGAAATCTGATAAAGTCTCTACGAGTCATTAAAATTATTTTAAAAATTGTAAAACAAATCCTCTATATGTCAAAAGAAAAAAAAATCCCAATATACAGCATGTTGTTTGAGAAAATAATGGTCATATACAAGTAAATGAGCTGGTTTCTTCTAAGTTAAGGATTATGAAATATGTTTAAAACTCATTAGAGCTTTAAGTTCACTGTTACTATTTTATCTGTTGTACTAGTCTGGACTGATTTCTCTAAAAAGAACATATTAGATTGCCAAACCCAGTTTTTATTTGTCAATATACAGTCTCTCTACTTTACAAAAGATTGGGGTGAAAAGCGACCTTTGAAGACTAGAACAAATGATTATATATATATACACAAATATACACAAACTGTCCAATGAACATTCTTTATGTTCCATTCCCCAGTGTTATAATGAGGGGTGTACGATAATGTAAAGAAGATTTCCTTGCTCTTCGACAGGGATCTGAAAGTCTTACACACGAGAGAGCGCAGCTCAGCCTGATTATAGCTGGGCTGCTGTCAGGCAAGAGTGCGCCAAGCATAACACAGAATACGCTATAATGAGGGGGATTCTTTTTACAATACTTCATGCCAAGCTACCACAACTTTACATCAGCACAGCATCAGTGCAGTTGCCTTCTAGAAACAGGTAACGTAAAGTATAAATAGAATATGATAAGTCTTAGCTTGCAAACTAAACAAGTTTTACATTGTCAGCATCACACTTTTCTCATTATTGCTATTTTTTTTGTTGCATTTTAGCCCAATAATTAATTTCACAATCAGAAGCATTTCTGTAGCCATCATTAACTTGCTCATGATTTTTTTCTCTTTAGTTATTTGAGTGTCAACTTAAAACGGTGCTACAATTTTCCACCCGCATGTGTAAAAAAGAGTACATGTTTTTCTACTGTAAAATAATAGCAGCTTACGTTTCTTACATGTCTTTTAGAATGGATGTCTTTTAGAAGTGGTTCTCACAGACATCTAAATCAAACGTGAAATCTGACAGTGCAAGAATATCATTTAACCAAAAGTAAAAATATTCAGGTCACCAATTTGAAATCTTACAACTCAAAAGTAATGTTATTATACATATTGGACTGCATTTTTGTGTTTTACTAGTTAATATATTAAAGATACCTATGAAAATTACATATTCAATAATATTTAATATACATGCATTTTCCACAGAAAAGAAATTGAATTATATTTTACAAACTCATCAAAAAAGACTCCACAATGGGCTGGTGTCCCATCCAGGGTGCTCTGATTCACTGTTGCAGTCAAAGAATTAAGCTGTTACTGTGGCTGGATGAGTGGACAGATAAGCAAAAGTTTTTTTTCCTTAGCTTTAAATCTGTTTAAGTTATTTTAAGAAAAACAGCATATTTCTGAACACAAAGTAAGAAAACATTTAATATGGAAATTTGCATAAGGTCATCAATATATTTTTTCCGAAATACCAAAACATATTATACAATGTACCCTTGCTTTCACTGTGAGATACATACAGTACAGTACAAGCATTGCATAAACTGATAAAAAAAAAACTTCCTGTTCTCACCAGAACTCCAGCTATCAGAAAAAGCTTCATTGCAAGGACACCGATACCATGTAGGCAGGGCAGAACAGAATACATTCATCTGATGATCTTTTTTTCTATTACCTAACTTTCTCGTCCCCCTTTTGTTCTGATCTATAATATCTTTTTATTTTGTCAACCCTCTCACAACCAAGACCACAAATTTATTAATGTATTTTTTTAAACAATATTAAAATGAGTGTCACAACACATGTAGTTGTACTGTTTTCATTATTTTCACATTGTTCACCTTCATAATTCACTTTAGTAGCTTGCTCCTCAATGTTCTGAATAATCTAACATTATACTCTTTTGTCCTGAAAAATACTGTACCTAAATGCTTTGGATTCATCGCTTGTGATTCATGATAATGAGACACGAGACAGGATGATGATCCCAAACTAAAGCAGGATGTCTTGAGTGACCAATCCCATGCCATGTGGGATCAAGCATTATCAAGTTGAAGATTAAATTCCATTCATGCCAGAACCAGAACTGCAATCGGAGGACCTGTCCTAAAGTGTGTTTAACACATTAAGACTGACATCACTAAACCAACCCTTAAGTAGGCATTGATGCTCTCACACTCTTATTAAGTTTCTTATACAGATATCAGAGGACTTGGTGGTTTTTCCTGAATACTGTACATGCACTTCATTCTGGTCAAATGAGACAGATTCAGTATTCAACAGAAAACATCAGCAAGGGTCTCCATATTTATGCATAAATTACAGTACATACAATCAGAGCCCAGTGGCATTGTGTTTTGAGAGCGATCAGCAATAGATACCTGTAGTTCTCAATTATCTGTTGATTGTAATTTGGTATTAAAGGTTTATTTACAATTGTTTTAGTATTCGCAGTTGAATAAAATTATTACCTTTTCAGGCCTTACTAAATGAAATAAAGATGCCATTTAGTTGTTCCACATCCATCAGTAATCTGATAACCAAGATGTATTTTAACTTCTGCTTTTTATGGTATATATACTGTACATATTTGTATATACAGTATATTGTATATATATTATATATTAGCATATATACAGTATTTAGTCTGTGTATTTAATGTTCAAATCATAATCTAAAAAGAAACAAAAACTCAGTACTGGGCAATTTAATTCAAAAGGTGTATAACTAAAATATAGATCTGTTCCAAAGCAAGATTACTTGCACATGAAAAAGCCCGTAGTGCTATTAATCCATATACAACCACAAAACTGCAAGCACATCATTTTCCTTCTACACACAAAGCAAGACACCATGTTAGTTTCACACATGCAAATAACACTCTATACTGTACACTTTTAAATATACTTGGAGAAACATTACACTGGTTTAATAAAAATGTACATTACTCAATACTGGAATACAAACTAATGCTAATGTAATGTTCCTGACATGCTTCTATTGTTCTTCAAATACTTTATATTTTCTTCAGAAATTATAATGCTAATTTTGCTTCAGAGGATTCCAGATTAGATTGTATTCTTAGAATGGAACCAACATCAGAGTTCCTTGTGACACATTGGGGGATACACACTACATTAATCTTTATTAATTCTTAATAACACAGAAACTTGTAATTAAGCACTGACATGTGGTACGATTATAGTGCTTAATTAAAGTTTAATTATGATCTGCTAATTTTCAATTAGTTTGTATACATGCATCTACATTCAATGTATTATTTAGTGATATTTATCAGTCAGAAGAGATGAAACGCAGTGCCATTCATTATCTAGTACAGTAGCTGTGCATTTCTAAGAAAAACGTACAGAGGATCTGTGAAGTGAGATCAGTTCTAAAGTGAGATCAGTTTTGAGCTATACTCTCTGTGCTGAGGGCCTCAGATAAGCTCTATGACTTATAAAACTAGCAAGAAAACTCAAACAGTCTATAGTCTATTTTAGTCTCTCCCCCTACAAAAGATACAGTACAATATCAAGCACATCTGTTGTCTCATTTGTCTGGCACTTAACTTAATGCCTCCACCCTTTACCTTTCAGGTTTTCCAATCTAGGCGCATGACATTTTCAAAGACTAATACACTCAAAACAAAATACCGACTTAGGATTCTAAAGCACTTCAGAAAAACTGCAGATACTTAACACAATAGTAGCACAACATAATGGAGACTGCAAGATGTTTCTTTCAGGTTAGTGCTGGACACATTCAGCTTACTGTAGACAAGCTAGTGTTTCATTAATATGCTTCATTTCACAACAACTTTACTCCAAACACAACAACTTTACCCCACGTTTTAAGAAGGGTCCACCATAATCTCAGGTTATTTCCAGTAATAACATGAAAGGAAAAGAACAGGTAAATCATAGGAAACCCCAGCACTGCACTCACCAGTCTTGTGACGAGGGGTACCCCAAAATGCCAGAAGTGATCGTTCAGCAGCCCACTGTACACTACGTTTCCAAAGAGAGCAATGGTTCCAGATTTGCACAAAGCGTTCCCTGGTTTGGTTTCTGTGGAAATAAAGAAGAATGCTTGTCTATAGGACTGTTTGGGTTTTATTTGACACCAGAGTGTTGGAAGTCAAATCTGATCCTGCTATACCAGTGCCTAATCTAAAACAAAATGTGGAGTCTCTGAAAACACATACTGTATGTTGTACTTATCCAATTTTGTTAATTATTTTGAAACCTAGCAAACAACTCTAAGCAACTTCATACAGCCAAGTAAAATAGTAATTTGCAGATTACCAGAGTAGAAATACTGTATAAGGCAAACATATACTTAATCCAAAACTATAAGCAATAAAATATACATCAGAAAAACCTTCATAGCACTATTTCAGTGAAGTGATACTGGGAAACTTTCCACCTCATGCTCAGGAAAGCAGAAGGGTGGCCAGTGACATTCCCAGGAGATCCCTACAGCTCTGTGATTATACCTGATTATACTGAACTCTCTGTATACTTGGCATCAGAATCAGGTTCTGGCTGCTGATCATAGCCCTGGTCATCCTTGCTTTTAACTGTTCCAACAACAAAGGGCCTGAACTGACACTCTGCCTCTTGTCTTTGGCACTGCATACTATCATACAGTATATCGTGTCTACAAAAACTAGCACCATCTAGTTCCAACACACTTGCCATGCAATAATTTGCAGCACGGTATGGCAAGTAGCATACTGTTTACAGTTCCGCTATCATCATTGATTCATACACAACAGAAAGGAACTGCAGCAGGCCCTTAACTGTTCTGAGCATTTCTGAAACATTCACATTCAGTGTTTGCAAAAGTTAAAAAGATAAAGAGCAATTCACAAATATCTTTACACCAGTCAGTCACTGCACAGAGAAATGTTCCATATAGCCAATATCTTTACCATTCCATTGATCCTACAGAGTTTAATCACGCAAATGCTAAGCAACAAGCAAAATTAAGCAGAAGAAGCAAGTGGATAGTGGTAAGAAACACTATTAAAAATAAAATAAAAGCACAGTTAAAATGTCATTTTTTGCAGTTTTTCGCTGCAGTGCTGCATGGATATTAATGTTATTAATGGGACTGGCGTGAGGGCAATGTAACAGCTTGATTGTTTATAGCTGCTGCTATCTGCAGTCTCTCTGGGCTTGACTGTAAAGCTCAGGGTTCATTCTGAATGAGCTCCAACTGGTGATATAGTTTACAATTACTATATGAATATTAATTGAAGAGGCTTAGCTCCACTGAATTAGAGCGACAACTTTATATATTGATACAAAACGAAGCAGGGTCCTACCACCCCAAGCTCGTTGAAGTGTGGTTCGATGGCTTTAAAATATTTTCTACTCAAATTATCAAAAAGTTTGAAGAATGCTTTTTTGTTTACGTCTCAAAGGTCTTCTCAAAGGATTTCAATAGAAAACTAGCAAAAGAACAACAGATGCTCATTTACAAAAGCTTTTATTCCATATTATGCTTTTTAATGTTGGTAAATGTATTTAATCATTTTTAGTAGCCTTGTCTACTGTACAGTATATTATTTTACATTTGATTTGTGTAACATCTGCTTATGGACTGAGAATGGATCTTCTTGTACTGTAACTTGATTCCATCATTGAACTATGCAAAGCCTATTGGCAAACTAAACTGCATTTAGATTATCACGTAATGCATTCTTAATTCTAAGATAGCCACTCACAAAAGGGTGTAATTTATCAGTACTAGGACCTGTCACAGGCAGAATTTTTTTATTGTTTTATTTATTTTTTTCTTGGCTGGTTTGAAGATTTGATAGTGCCTTTAAACTGGATAAAATGTCAAAGCTGTCATAAACATGCAAGTAGAAATATTTTAGGCTTAATAAGGAAGCAATAACATCTCGACACACAAAATGGCAATAACATCATCATCCCTAATCTGGCATCTCAACATCTGTGTCAACCTTTCATCAAGTTGCCTATTTGACACTGTGCAGTAATTGAGATGGTGTATTTATGACAAACAGAGTTTAACTAGACACATAAAGGTTTTTATTCCTGAAAGTCCCTTTCTGAGTTTTGCAAATAGTGTGCTTTTTGTGATTAAAATATATATTGCAATTCATAGAATCTGACCAAATGCGCTAGATTCATACAAACCATACAGTATACTATCCCAAGAGTGAAAGTATACATTTTTTTAGAAAATACAATAAGTGGCTAACAGTTAAAAAATAATGGCCATTTCAATTTAACCAGATTAGACAAAAAGTGACTCCGAGTAGCATACTGACCTTTACGTAGCACAGAATAGCAGGAACTGTCTTTTAGAGGCAGATAAAGATATATGCGGAAGGTTCTATTGATTCTGTTTCAATAATAACACAGACTTTGCCTTAAGAGGGTCCCGTAATCTGTTATTTTAAAACATGCATCCTGTCCTTCCTTAAGAGCCCAAAAAAGCAATGCATTATCGCCTTCTAGTTCCGCATGGACACCAGAAGGGAATGCAGGCGTAGTGACCTACTGTACAAATGGCTTAAGTGCTGAAATTACAACAGCTGCAACAACAAAATATCTTTTGAACTTGCCACATTTAGGATGGTTATGAGGTAGTTTTGCTGATAGTTTTACATTTTTTTTTTTAAATATAAAACCCGCTAGTTTTGATTTTTATCTGTAATGTGGGCCAATTGTAATCAGAAACATTACTATGCTGTAGCTACTTCAGAAACTTTCACTGTCACACTGCACTGAAGCATATGGGACAATCAGTAAATTGTCCACACTGACTTGGAGGCAGCCAGTTAAGCATTATGAACTTCAGCTGTGCACATTACCTATACTCTTTCACACCTTAATTCCTGACATGCATTTCCAATGTTCACTGTTACTAGAACATTAATGTAGAAGAATAAACACAGTTTAAACCATAATATTCCAAAAGAATTGCAAACTAGGACATAGGAAACATTCTAAAGCTAATAATGTGGAATTAAACATACATGCTTCACAGCTAAATATGGCAGAATTATGTGATAATAACATTTGAAACAATCCCTATAATTCTCAAGCACAACCCAAATCATTGTATAGACAGGATGTAAATAGGGGCCAATATATTTCTTCAAAAAAGAATATAAGAAAAAAAAACAGTGTTATACACCACTTGTCTTTAAATAATACCTTATTGTATAAGACAGCTCTAAGTACAGCAATCCCTTTCATAGATGTAGGCTTGACAGTTTGAAGAAAGGAGTTTAAATGGGTATGAATGTACCACGACCAATCCTGTTGGAATTAGGCCCGATATTACAGGATTAGTGAAGGTGTATCATGTTTGCCCTTCTATTTGTTTGCCTGCCTGCAGCAGAGAACTACAGAATCTCATTCTGACAACTCAGCAAGAGAAGGTGGATGTGTTTTAGTAGGCATTTAGAGTTCCTGTTTTCAGATTTTATATTCATTTGTGTCATGACCATTACCAGGACAAGTAGATTGAAATAGACGGATAGATGGGAATTACTTCTAAGGGTAGGACTATATATTATTACTGATATTTATTTTTAATAAATATTAACAATACAATTTAATATATTAATAGTAATAATCGTGTTAGAATATTCTTCACAGATACAATGAGGTATTGAAAACACCAAATCTTATATGATGTTTTATGTTTTGATCTTTGGAATCACTAAAACCAATATTAGATTTAACATTTAACCATGAATGTTTTTTTTTAATTCTATTTTTACATTTTAATGAAATATAAAAAAATGGGAGAAGTGGTGGAATGGTGGTTTAGCTGCCTTGCAGAACTAGGGTTCAAGTGCTGGGTGCTATCTGCGTGGAGTTTTTATGTTCTCTTCATGTGTTTTGGGGTTTTCTCTGTGTGTTCCTGTTTCCTTTGACAGTTCAAAGACAAACTGGCAGTTTTTCTGGATTGTGGGAAAATTGTCCTGGTGTGAGTGTGTGTGTTTGTGTCTGTGTGTGCCCTCCGGTGGATAAAGTGGTTAGAAAATGAATGGATGAATAAATATTTAAGAGATTTTTTTGTGAGTGCTTAATACAGTGGGTATACACAGTATGCAATTGCTGTATATTATATATAGTAATATAATATTTGTGCATGTTATCTTTAAGAACAGCTCAGTTTTTTCAAATGAAAAGGGCAGAATTGCAAATAGAGGGATGCTCTTCTGCTTTCAAATGTTTGAGCATCAAGGGTTACACATAGATCCTGAGCTAAGCCTGTTTCTAACGACTTTGCACTTTGCTACAATGCAATAAAGGGAAACAACAGTTTAAATAATTCAGGCCCTGAGAAAGAGATGGGGTAGGACGGGGCTTGTTCAGAGAGAAGGACATGAGGTGGAGGGGGCTAGCTAAAGGCTGGGAAAAGCCTGTCTATATTGCTGCAGAATGGCTCATTTAGCCCATGCCACATGTTATTAAAGTTGTAGTGCCCCACCCCCCCCCCATTTTACCAAAAGCCTGTAGGGCGCACAGTAAAAGATAGCAGCATTTAAAAACAACAGTAAGGCCTGCAGCTCCAAATAAGAAAATAAATGCATACCTCTTAACCTCTCTCTCTTATCTGTTCCTTCAGGTCCTGAATCCTTCATCACTCTATATATAGTTTATATCCTGCAAATAAACTGTAACGGGCATGGGGCATTCTCCTTTTCAACAACTCTTTGGGATTATAGTGTGCACCAGCTTCAGAGCACACTGCTCTATCCCGTCTGCTGCAGCCTGGAGCATGATCTACACCAGGTCCAGCAGAGGCGACATTACAGTAATTTCAACACTGAAAATTCAAGAATACTGATTGAAAGAAGAAAAAAGAGGCAAAGAATAAAAGGCTTTAAATTTAATTTATTCTAGCTGTTAGTAGTTTTGTATTTTTAAATACAATACAGTACACATCTTGCTAATACAGTGTAACACACCTTCTGGAAACAGAAGGAAACAGTCACAATGGCTCCCTCCATAGTTATACAGTACATGCACTGGGTTTTGTTGAAAGCCATCCCTTCAATACATAGAAATTG